TTCCCCACTTCCCATTCCCAGTCGCTCCCAATTCCCCCATTTCCCATTCCCAGTCCCTCCCAGTTCCCCCATTTCCCATTCCCAGTCCCTCCCAGTCCTTCCCAGTTCCCCCATTTCCCATTCCCAGTTTCCCCAGTACCTCCCATGGCCGCGGCCCGGCCCATTCTGCTCACGGGCACGGGGCGCTGCCGGCCCCTCCCGCCGCCCTGGGGGGGCACAGAGTGAGGGGACCCCAAAAACAGCTGGGACCCCCCAAAAATACCGGGACCCCCCAAAACAACCGCGACACCGCCAACAATACCGGGGACCCCCTCAAAAATACCGAGACCTCCCCCAAAAATACCGGAAGCCCCCCAAAAATACCGGGACCTCCAAAAATACCGGGGACCCCCTCAAAAATACTGGGACCCCTCCAAAAATACCGGGACCCTCCCAAAAATACCGCCCCCCGCCGCAAAACAGCCGGGACCCCCTCAAAAATACCGAGGCCCCCCCAAAATACCGGGATCCCCAAAAACAGCCGGGACCTCCCTAAATATTGAACCCCTCCCAAATATCGGGAGGCCCCAAAAACAGCCGAGACCCCTCCAAAAAGAGCTGGGACACCCCCAAAAAAGTATCGAGATCCCCATAAACACAGGGACCCCCCAAAACAGCTAGGACCCCCCAAAAAATACGGGTACCTCCCCAAAAAATACTGGACCACCAAAAAACTAACGGGGTCTCCCAAACACCGGGACCCTCCCCAAATCCGGGGTCCCTCAAATAGAGCCGGGACCCCCCCAAAAGCAGCCGGGATCCCACCCCCCCAAATCCGGGGACCCCCAAAAACAATTAGAACCCCCCAAAAACCATCGGGACCCCCAGAAAAGAACCGGGACCCCTCCCCAGATCACTGACCTGGTCCCGGGGGGGTCCCGGTCCATTTTTGGGGGGGGGGTCCCGGCTCTGGGGGGGGTCCTGTTCCGTTTTAGGAGGGGGGTCAGGGCCGAGCCCTCCCCCCAGGGCCCCTCCC